CCGGGAACGACATTTCGTAAAAATGAATGAATTAGCGATAAGAACGAATGATAAAAAAAAAAAAAAAGAAATGCGCGCGCACAATCGGGAGTCGCGGGGAGAGCAGGCGTTCAACGGAGGGCGTGCGCGATTCGAAATTTCGTAGCGGTTGCTTGACCACTTTGAGCATTACGTCACCCATGCAATCTTCCAGATATAGGCATCGCCGTAAAGGGCGCGCATCAGCCACCTCTCACCCGCCGTCTCCTTTTCACCGCCCTTTTTATTTTTCCCGGCGTAATTACCGTGAGACGTCAGCGCTCTCCTTCCCTCCCATGCGCGGCTCGGGGTTATATTTTCAGCAATGTGTCACCCGACACGCGCTTACGCGCGCCAGCCGTTTATTTTTGCGGCGTATATAGCCCTTGCGAAAAAAAGAAGGAAAGAAAAAAATAAAGAAAAAAGAACCGACCGCGCGGGAACGGGAGGAACCAGGCGGGAAGGGTCCAGGATGTGAGGAATTATACCGACGACCGCGAGAGAGAGAGAGAGAGAGAGTGCCACTTCAAAGAACAGCGGGGTCTCGTTATTTTATTACCACGGCGGGTCCCCACGTGCCTCCGGTTCGGCACTCGCGGAAAGAAAGATCGGCTTTGAATCTCTCCGCTGGCCGGGCCGAGTGTTTCTGTTCGCGTTCCTGTTCCTCGAACGATCGCGTAAATCGACTTTCTGGACTCCTCTCGAGATGAGTCTTTACGCTTGTTTTACACAGAGCGTGTACAAAATTGTATGCCGCGAAAGGATCGAACACGGATCGATGTTATTTCAAGCATAGGATAAAGTATCGTGAAAGAATTCGATAGAGAAGAGATGAGATCAGTGATAAGATACGTAGACACTCGCTGAAGATAGGACATGTGAGATTAAAATTGGCGAGCGGAGAAAAAGTGACGCGTCAACCGTTGAGATTGACGTAAACTCGTGAAGAGCAATACTGTCGTCGATTCATGGAATTAAGCGGTCCGGTAAAACGTTCCTTCGTGCGAATTATGCCGTTAAAATATGCAATCGACAAACCCGAATAATGCACGCTCACGCGGTGAAACGATCGTCACAACAAGCTGATAATTTTGATTCGTCTGCAGATGATGCCGGTTATATTCCAGAGCTTACCTTTGAATTCTTTAGCAGCTACCAAGATTTCATCATAACGCGAAATAGCGATTTTCAATTAAAGTGAGCGATTAAAGTGAGCGAAAACTCGCTAACGAGTCCAATTCAGAGTTATTCGCAGGATTTGACGTTAGCTTCCAGCAATTTTGAATAATAAAGAGACAGCCGTGACTCCGGAAATATTCATCGTAACAATGGCGGCTGATTTTATTTGGACTCGCGCCGCCAGAAACCGTCGTGTTATTTCGAAATCGTGAAAGCTCGCCGCGGTGATCGCCGCAAAAAGACAGTTGAAGTTTTTGAATTATTCACGAGCCGTCCCGAATGGGATATTTTCACGGCGCAAATTTCATCGACGACAATCTGTTATACTTCAATTTGGACCAAAAGTGTGGCGTTAACGGGAAATCCGATAGCAACGTTCAGTCTCGCAATCGATTCCACATAGATTCTCCGCGATAGAGTTTAATTCGCCCGCTCTTCGTTAAATCGGCTAATTTTGCGACGCAATTCGACGAGGAACACGTGTGTCCGTATCGTATTAATATTAATTATGTTGCACCGTTCTGAGCCGGAATTTTGATTCTACATTAACGCTGTGCGAATATTATCGAATTTGAAAAATTCACGGAGAATTTCGAAATATAACATTACACCCCACAGCGCAGAAGTTTGCAGCAACCCTCTCCCCTACTCTCTCTCTCTCTCTCTCTCGAAGAGACGCAAAACAGGAAGAAGTGGAGAACGAAGAAACGACCGCGACGATCGTGATGAGAGCTCGAGTAACCCAGAGAACGAGAGAAAGCAAGATAAATAGTCGAGAAAGAGGCCGCGGCGAGGCCCGAAGAAGGAGCTAAGAAACGAACGGCCTCGCGAGGATTAGAGCGAATCACCGTGGACAAAGACCGCGCAATTCTCCTTCCTCCGATCTGCGTTACGCCCGTTTCACACGTTTCACGGCGAGAACGCCGGGAGAAATTCCGCCGTTTAATGTCGCGATTCGACCCACGAAGGAAGAAAGTTCGGCTTTATTCGACGGGGAATAAAAAAAAAACGCCGACCTAGCGATTATAGCTTCAAAGACAGCGATTACCCGGACTCTGGTAACATCGATCGTGTCGGCCTTTTCCGCGTGCACCTGACGTGCGCAATCAATGGAACGCAATTTCATCTCGCGGACGCGCATAAATGAAAGGATTCCCGATATTATACGACGCGTAAGATTCCGTCGCAAATTACAGATCGCGTAAAACGGGCTTCAGCGCGCCCGGTGGGAGGTTCACCGGCCTCTTCTCCCATCTCGGAATCATCGGAACCCTCTTCCCTCCCTCCTGAGTCAGCCGTTCCCGCAGCCAGGACCCTTTTCGCCCTGCCGTCCTCGTCTCGCACTCCCGATACGACTCCTTTCTTCTCCCATCTCCTCGTCCCTCGAATGGCTCGGCGGCTCAGGCGGTGCCGGTAACGTGTCTTTTGTCCGCGAGACCGGTTCCTGCTGGTTCCTCGAACCATTTATTTCCTCCGTCCCGACTGTGCGCGACTACACTCCTTCGCCTCCACCTTCTTCTTCTTCTTCTCCCGTAACCCGCGCCTTCTATCCACTCGCGCGTCATTCTTCTCTCCTCCTCCCCTTTCCCTCGCCTCCTCGTCCATCCCATCGTCTCTACTCTCGATCGTGTTACACCTTTTTTTCGGACGTATCGTATACGGTCGGCACACGGCTCTCGCACTCGAAATAACGTCCCGGTTCCTGGCAGCCTCCCGGGTCCATGAATGAACGCGGCCGAATCGCTCTCGGAGGGGGGNNNNGGGGGGGGGGGGGGGGAGACGAGGTGTCACCGAGCTCGGCTCGTCTGACCTTCGCGCGGGTCGATTCGGCGGCACCCTATCGGTGCCGACGAAGACGACGAGGTCGGCGACGACAACGACGACGACCCCGTTTGACCTCGCTTCATCGACCACGCCGGCGGAGACCTGGACACTGGGTCGACCGAGCTATGCGGTAGCTCGCGCGACTATCGAGCTCTTCCGCCTTGGCGTTTGTGTGCGGGACTTCCCGAAGGAGAAGTTATAGTTATTGCCCCGATAACTCGCGGTTTATCGACGATGTCGTTTTGCACGTACCGGCTCGGCTCCGCGGAACTTTGAACGATGTCGCGCGCCCCGGCGAAATTAATGTTGTTTCAGAAACGTACAATACTGACGCACACGGCGCGACGATAAGGCCGATCGAGATCCGTCGGAAGATATTACGGGGACAAACGAGGCGGGAATTCCTCGGCGAACTTCGACACCGCCGTCTCAGTGAGTTGCCGTCGCAAATCGCAACTTTTTCGTATTTCAAATTCAATAATTGAGATCGAATCCGTTCAAAGGGTAGTAAAGGATACATCGATCGCGTTATCAATTGCAACCGGGAGGGGAGGAGCTTAAGTTTCAATCTTAATATCCGATCGCTCTGATCGAAATCCAATCACATCCTTATCGGGGGAAAGTCGAGACTATAAATTAGCCGAAGGATATAGCGGAGGCCTAGTTGCTAATTATTTCTGCTACTTTCCATCGGGTTACCGGTATCGGACGGTAAGATCTCAAACGTGTCTAAGATGCTTACGGAATCCCAACTCGTTCGATTTGGCAACCCGCTAAAAAACAACTGGAAATAATCAATCAGCCAACTCGGCCCTCCCAGCTAGCCCCGGTTTCCCCTAAGCGCGTGCTTCGAATCGTCCCTCTATTTTTACCCCAGGTAACGGCACGAAGCAGGTGAGCAAATAACGACGGTTTCGCGCGCAAGATATCCCCGAACTCCCGGGATCGGGAATCCGCGGGGCAATCGGTCGATATCGTGCGATTCCAGCGAAGCCGCGATATTCACCGTTGCGCTCGCAGTGTACGACACGATATCACGTCGCTTTTATCGCGCTTTTATTATGATACCCGAGACGCCCCGGGGATCGCGTTGTTAAATCGGAACCCTTTCGCTCGCCTTGTCGCGCGCGGGGGCGAGATCGATCGGCGAAACGATTTCTCGGCGGACAAGAATGGCACGCCGAGCAACGGCCGCGTAGGGGCCCGGCTATCGCGAGCGCCGGATAAGCTTTTACTATCCGATAACGATTAACGGCCGGCCGTCGCGATTGCGCCACAATCCTGGGCAGCCTGAGCCGCGCTTCGTTGACCGGAAGGGGAGAAAAAAATGACGTTATCGCGGGCACGTACGTCGTGGCGCCCGGCGTTCAAGTTCGCCGCTCGATGAAGTCGGCGAAACTCCGTTACGGGCAGTGCTCCAGCGCGCGAGAGCTGCTCCGAAAGTTCGCCGCCTTCGGAACACAATTAAAACTGTATTCATCGGCGGGCGAGTACGGCGCTGCTGCTATTACCACTACCACCGTAGCCGCCACCCCCGAAGCGAAATTACCGAGGCAGACATTCCGCGAACCCGCTAATGAATTTTCGGGCAACCGAGCTCCTCCCGCCTCAGAAAGGGGGAGAGAGAGAGAAGAAGGGAGGGAGTTTCGCTCCATTTATGCTTCTACTAAATCTCAATTTCAAATGGCACGCCACTCGCGATTATCGTCTTTAGTCCTTCTACGACAAGGGGGAGTTCCTCCCTCGCATTCGGAATTGACTACCGTCCGCGAAGGACTCGGCGGAGCGGCCGGCTCGGTAGACTGAAACTTTCAGGAATCCAATTTCGGGATGTTCGGATACGTTCGTTCGGATTCGTCGCGCGCTGTCTGGCAAGTACTCTGCCACGGTTCTTTGACACAAACGTATATATCCAGCTTATAAGGGAGATCGCATTGCGCGCTCGAAGAGAGACTCGAGCAGTCTTGAGAGTCACTCACCTTTCTCGAGATGCTGCGGTATCGGACTCTGCACCCTCGGAGTCGTCTGCAACTGCGCCGCGTTTCCCGGTCGTCTTCGTGGCCTCCTTCCGGGTCGGGGCTAAACAACAAGCGGAATCAATCGGTCACTTCAAGCGAAACGGCATGATCGATAAGGGTGAAAAGTACGAGCGGGGTCTGGCGCGTCGCGAGACGTTCGCTTTCGCACGCGAACAACCTGCCCAAAATGAGCCTCGTTACATAACTATTATTCACTATTATTCGCTGGAATGCGTCGCATTATTTTACGCGGCACCACGTCCATGACTTCCACCTGATAAATTTTTACGTATTTCGCTGCATCGGCCCAGGGATTTTCTCTTTAGCCCGGAAAGCCCGGGCGAAAAGCGGAAAGGGGTGACAACCCTGGACGAAAGAGGCGAGCCTGCCTCGCGACGTCGCGAAGACGCGATCGTTCCGACCGTGTCGGCGTGAATAGAAGCCATTCGGCGCATCTTTCCTCAGCTGTCGGCCGAAGCACGTCTATGACGTCGCGCGGGTTCCGCCCGGCGAGATCGAGAGCGGCCAACCGCGGCTTTACGGAGTCTGGATAGCTCCGGAGTCTATCTCGCATCGTCATCGTCTTTCGCTACCGCCCGTCCTTGCTCGCGCTATATACCCGCGCACACGTACATACCAGCAGTCAGATAATCGTAACGTCAGTCGGCTCTTTGTTGCCGGTCGTAAAGCCGGCGAGCGAGCGAGCGAGCGCGAAGAACAGCGCGCGGAATAGTTCGGGAGGACGGTGGGAAGGGGTGGGTCCGCGGTGTAGCCGTCTTTGTTTAACTGCCGCATTTATTACCGCGGGTGATAAACGCGCGAGCGCGCTTCGAGATAAACGCGAGCGAGTGAGCGACCGTTTCGTCGAGTCCCGCCGCGTCCCAGAAGCGACGACCTAAATTTTAACGACAGCTTACGCGACGAATCTCGACTCCTCCGCGGAAATTCCGAGCGGCTGTCGTGAGTTACGTGAAAATCGGAATTCCGGGGAAAAGAGGAGAGTCCATCGCCTCGTCGAAACTTTCGCTAAGATCATCCCCGAACGGGGAGGCCGCGGGATATCGCGGCGTGATGTAATATCGCGCAGCGCATAGCGCGGAGGAAGGAAGGAAAAACTGGGGAAGAGAAGCGGACAAGAGGAATAGGTGCAAGCTAAATTACAAGAATCTGGAGTGTCAGGGATATTTCAGGCATCTCTTAATAAAATCCTAGACCGTCGCGAAGAAGGAAAAACGAAGTTAAGTCTTGAGAGCCTCGCGAAATTGCTGAGATTTTTTACACCTCGACCTTCCCGCCGGGACGTAACGCCGCTTGGCGCACCGTGCAATTTCCCTTCGCATACCGGTGCGATCATCGGCGGAGCGTGTAACGTTTCATGCATCGTAACGAACGACACAGTAAACGAGTCTTCGGCGGTCTCGCATATTTCTTGTTGTAAATATCGACGAAGATCCTCCCCGAGGCAGCGGAGGAATCACGTCGACGAAGCGTGCGAGCGCGAGTAACGCCGAGAATCGTCAAAGCCACCGAGAGAGAGAGAGAGAGAGAGAGGTCGGGACGAATTTCCTCCGGCTTATATGTCACCGAAAAATTTATCCCGGCATACCTCGCGGTGCAGCACTCGGGGAGCCTCGTCGGCTCCCTTCGTATTTTCGTAGCAGAAAAGGGAGCGAAAGCCTACGAGACGCGCGTCCGGGTGGAAGAGCGTCTACCCATCCCAACCGCTCTCGCTCGCTCTCGTATCACGCGTGTGTGTTTTATTGCAAATTGAGGTTAAAGTCTCTGGCACGGGGCCAGGCATTTCACCTAGGCCGTCGCATTCCGGCGGATGCACACGGACACGCGCGTTACACGCTCTCGCTTATGTGCACGCGAGAGTACCTCGATCGGGTACACAAAGAGGCGGGAGAGAAGAGCCCTTTATGTACCCGTGCGAGCTCCGAGATACGATTCCGCCTGTACGTAGAGAGAAAGAGAGAGAGAGAGAGAGAGAGAGAGCGGAGTGGGACGGAGTTCTTTGAGGAAGTCGGAGGTGGATTTTTCCTTATCCCCGGACGGAATTTTAATTCGAGACGCGCGATCGCTGAATATCGGCAGGCCGCGGATTAATGATAAGAGGGAGACGAGCCGCTGGCTCTGCGTCGTTAAAATTAACGAGGGATCCCTCGGGCATCCCGTGTGTTCGTCGCTGAGGAGGCTCGTAAAATAAATAGTTCACGACGGCCATTCTCTCGCTCAGCGTTGCACCGCCGCGCCCTTGCTCGCTTCGGGGGTGGCTTTTCCCGCTGGCCGTAATTCGCGCGGGGTCACCGCTCCTTTGAAGTTCGCACGGCCATGTCGGGGGCTCGGTAAGGATAAACAAAGATAAATACTCGCGTTATCTGCTCGCAAAACCTGAACCCTCGAAGATCAGACCGGCCGCGGCATCAGTAACGAGGTATGACCGCGCGAGATCCACCCTCCCATCTGCACTTCTAAATATTCTAATCTCTCGCGTTCGGTCCTTCCGTTTTACCGTGCGCAAACAGCTCAGCTTAATGCGGCGCAGTAAGCGTGGATTTACGCGATTTCGCGTCTCAGCTGCCCTTTGACTTACGGCTGTTTGCGTCAATCGTAACCTCCCCTCCCCCCCTCCTCCTTGGGAGTACTAACGACGTTGTCTTCGCGTTCGAATTATCTCGTGCAGCGCATGCTGACACCCCCGCCGGCGCGTTTTCAAATTTATTCGCGCACGCGCGCGCGAGAGAGAGCAGATATAAATATGGAAAAAGAGAGATAAAAGAGAGAAAGGAAAAAAGCGTCGTTGCGGCCGACGACGGATGATTTCATAATGCCATTAATGTAGAGATCGCCGAGGCAATGGCATCTTCGCCGCCAGCGGATATAGACGGACGCATTACGCGCGGACAGCATCTTTTTCCGGCATATGCTAATCTAATTAATGGTTACACGGAAAGCCGCGTGGTGTGCGCGCGCGGCCGTGCGTGCGTGCGTACGTAAGCGCGCGCGAAATACGAACAGCGGCGTGTTTATCATTCCGCTCCCAGGAGTCGTTGGGCATTTTAACATTCGAACCGTTTCATGGCTTTAACGGCGCAAATTAATTAGATGTGAAAAATGACGAGATGAGAGGATACGGTATCACGCGAGATTATTCAGTACAGGCGTACGTACATACACACACACATACACACACAGTCAGGCGTGCTGCCAAAACAGTATCGAGCTTCCCAACTCGTCGTCTCGCGCATCTCCATAAGTAGAAGCGGACAATTTAAATTTGGAAATTTAATACCGCACTAAAACTTAATATAGTACGAGATAATTAAAATTTAATATTCCAATAATACACGCGTCTCTCGTCGGATATCGTATTTCTGCCGAATCCGCCGAGGGAGAAATGTATATGTCTTACGAAATATTAAAAACATATTAATACGACGATAAAAGACTTACGTTCCCCCCGATAATTAGGGCATTAGACTCTTCGGAAACGTCTCGCCGGTATGAGGGCGGTAGTATGTACACGCGAGAGAGATAACGAGCTCTCCTCTTAACTGTGTAACGAGCAACGCAAGATATCACGGGTAAAACCGGATTACCTAGACGCTCCTCGATACTGATAACGAGTTTGTTCGGAGGCGAATTACGTTTCAGCCGGGAAAATTACGCGAAAACGCGAGCGATAAAATAGCGTGACGCGCGAGTCACGGTGGAATATAATAAGCGAGATCGCACGATCGACGAAGCGTGAGTGAATATATTAACGTGGTAATAAAATGAAGACATCGTCTACATGGGAATTATCATTCTCAAAGGAAACCCGTCGGAAAGTTACTCAATGGGATTATATTAGCGACGAGCGAGCCGCGTCTATGTCTCGTTGAGTGTTGCAAATTAAAAAAAAAAAAAGAAAAAAAAAACCATCAATCTATCTTCGTTCATTTCGTATGATCTCTCGCCAATTTGCCGATCAGGCAAGCAGACAGGAAGTAATTAACTCTCTTGTGCCCACTGTAATTTTCTTGAGACCCTAGCTTTTTACTTCGATCCGATTCATCTTCGGCGCCCCAGCCCGTTCGCATGTCGGATACCTCCCTTCTCCCCCTTCACCCCCGGCGTACATTATTAATCCGCATCCTTCGTTGCTCTCATTTTCCGTCGTTAAAATGAAGTATACCGTGCGTTTCACGAACACCGGGCCGCGTCGTTATCCTTTATGGTCGTCATCGCATCGCGGCGATGCTTCGCCCGCCACCGGGCCCGGCAGGAAACGGCGTTACGCCAATGGCGAGCGTACGCGCGCGCAATATGTGTACATACGACGAGCGTAATCGTGTCTCGACTGCACGCGTGTATAACGCATTACACGTATCGCGTTACGTCCCGACACACACACACACACATATAGAGACAAACTCGCGACCGAATGTACTGGGCGTCGCGATAAAACCCAGCCGACCAGAAAGACCAGCCGGCTCCGCTTGTTTGCCGATTTTTACCGCCTTCCCTCGGCGCTATCGCGACCAACCGGTTCAGAAATACCGGTCGTTCTTTTCTACCCACGAACCGATCCACCCGTGCAGGTGACCCCTTTAAGTCTCGACACTCCGACGTAGTTTGCCTCTCGTCTGTGGAAATCGCGCACGGGATAGTACTTGCCGCATGAATCGATGCGCGACTTAATCGACGATAATTATTGACTCTTCTGAGAGAAAAATTCAGTCATTTCCATTAAAACGAACTCACCCGGCATTCCGGTTTAATGGACCGTTGAACATTTTCCGGTTTTTCCATTAGTTTTCATCATGGCATGCTATCTTCTTTTTTCTTAAATATTAAGCGTCTATTGCAACGAACGAACGAACGTTACTTTTTATTAAACAGCATTTACATAACCATTTGAGAATGTTTTCCGGAAGTATTTTTCCCTCGCAAGAATAAGCTCAGTTTCTAAATCGGAATCTTCTTCTCGCCGCGATATCATAGACATCTTATTCAGATTCCATATTATCAACTCCCACACTGCGAGCTTAAAGGTATCAATTAGAATGAAAATGA